TAATAATAATAATAATAATAATAATAATAATAATAATAAAATAATAAAAATAATAATACTATTCATTCAGTAAGCCATGAGTAGGCAATTAGAGGACATTTCTAGGATTTCGTCTGCCCTCTGTAGGATGGTGAAAGTAAAGCATCTACTTCGCTGTCAGCCCATTTAGCAGCACGATTTGTATTAAACAATAACTAGAAACATGGAGAGTAAAATGGCTATAATGATAAAATTAGTCCCGAAAAATTAGCCAAAATAATTTCTAAAGGGTACACTCGCTTCGCATTAATATATAAGAAATAAAATGATGCGCACACAGGACCTCAGAATCGGAGAAGAAATATATATTTAATGAAAACTTTGATAAGAGCTGCACAAAACTAGTTTGGCCTCCAATTCAAACAATACTAAAACCAAGGGCTAAAAAGAATGAAGTTTATCATCAAAACCTTGAGTAAATGACAAAAAGATTGGGAGAAAGACAAAGAGATTTAATCGCAGATTAGCAAACCTGACTAGCCACCATGTAGACCCAGAGATGCGCAGTTGGTTCACCAAGATTAAGTGCCTGATTGGAGAAACTCAGCACAAACAGACTACCCTGACGAACTTCACGCCGGTTGAAGTAAATGTCGAACTCGAGCAGAAGATTTTCGACCCCCTTTTGTGTGAGCTCCGTTGAAACTGACAAAGTTCAAAGAAACACACAAGCCGAAGGACACATACGCAAAGAAAGAGAGAAAATGCATAAACAATGAATAGTACAATAAGAGGATGAATAAATCATCCGGAACCAAAGGTTCCAATTTAACGCTCCAACATATTTACAATTTGTGTCCATCAGAATGAATTCAATCAACCCTGCACACAGTAAACTTACCATTGATACGTATATGAACCTGTGAAAAACTCGGCCAACCAGTAAATATAAGATTTTCTGAGGATAGTTTGTGAATTTAGCTGGGTTACTTAACTAATTTTTCCGTAAGGCATAGATAATAGTAACTAGAAGATTGCTGACATTTCTTGGGCAGATGGAGACAGAGCAACCAAGTAATGAGAAGCATATTATGATAAACGGTATAGACAGTTGAAGAAACGAGAACTGAGTTGTGCAATAAATCTATCATGCTTCTCCATCTCCAGGACATTTTGTGTTTCGGAGGTGCTATGAACATTGATGAAAGATGCAACTGACTCGGAATATTTCTTCTTCTACAATCGGGCCAAGTAGCCAGGTTGAGTAATCGCGTGAAAATTATGGGAATTGTTTAGCTCTTGCTAGAAGGTTTACGGACTTGCCTGTCAAAGGGATCCCAAAAAATTCATCATGGTCATCATCGGAGTCCTGTTCCTTTGGTGGAGCAATGTAGAGGATCTGAGGATGTAGGCTAAAGCATTGTGGGCATTTCGGTCTGCCACTGGCGCCTGGGTCGAAGCTCTGCCCATTTACCTCGAGAGAGTCTATGCAGCCAAAGAGACCAGTGACCTTTACCTGGGGAACAGAATATTGAGAAAATAAAAATGTAAGACGATAGGGAAGCAGGAGAGATAATTTATTTGAGAAAGGACTACATTGCTTAGCAAAAAGAGAGAACAATAGATAAAGCGATGTTAGCCTCAGGACTACGTTGTAGTTTACACATGGAATTAGACATTTTTAGCGTAAATACATCAACAGTCAAGAGGTCTCTTTTAAGCGGAAAGTTGGGAAACTAGGAGTGACCAGAAAGAGAAGTTTAGAAAAATTTTTCGGTTTGTGCTTCTGTTAAGCTTGAGAACACATTAGCAAAATGAGGGATTTAGGCTTGGCTCTAGGTTTGATGTCTGGATTATCCTTGGACTTGAGTCTACAGCCTACTTGGTATCAAAACAACCTCTTGTTTATCATCAAACTAGTCCAACTTCTTTCCAAGCCAGATGCCAAAATATTTTAGGCCAAGCTCTCCAAAATTTTAGATATGAAGAGCAAGATGGTGTGGCTGCTGGTATGGTCGCAGTCCTCTTTCGATTTATAGAAGTGGGTTGACCTCGCAACTTGGTCTTGTTGTCAGGGCGACTATGTAGAACGCACCTAGTCCGAAGTCGTCTGCCATAGTAGTTGTCATAATTCCCAGCATCTGACAGTGGACTTGGTACATTTCGCCGGCATCATAGTCGGCATCATCAATGAGCTTTGCCATTCTCCGCACCAAGATACTAACTCGTCCAAGAGACAAGTGAAGTCAATCTCTCGACAAACGTTATGCCGTAAACGGTTACACTATCACTCCTCTTTCTGTCCTGGCCTATCTATCTACTCTTTACCCTCTTATTCCACTGCCGCCCCATCACAACTTCTCACTTGTTTACGTTCCACTCGTAAAAATGTGTGCCCTTTCGTAGCAAAGCTAGTGTTGCCTCATCACACCCGCTATTCACCCCGACCCCATTTCATTCGATCGGCTAATCCGACTCGGGTCTCCAATCCGGATCTTCCTTATGGTCCCGTAAATCCGTTCCTTATTCTTCTGGTTGACCGATTTCACTCTGTTCCAGTCCCAGTGTGTTTTTAACTCCAGGTGCTATCTCAAGGCCCTAGAAGCACGTACACTGCCGCCTCACAGAGCAGAGCGCCTAGGCTCTGATTGCCATGTTTGCAGACATCAGGCATTCCCTCACGAGTCGTCTCCTTGATTGAACTAGTGCTACCTGGTCAAACTGTGGACGCCTATCTCTACTTCCATCGTGAATTGAATTTTTTCATCAATCTTATTTACAAAAGTTGGTCTTCATATATTCACTAATTTACAAACTTCAGAAACTCTTCCAGTTTTTCTCTAAGCATCTAGCTTCTTACATTTGCCTTAATACACGCCCAAGAAGTTAGTTTCTGAAAGATGGTATAGTTTCGAAACAACTATATATTTGTAGATACGAAGAGAAACTTGGTTTCGATGAATCTCCTGAAATAACGTTGTTAGAGGGACCTTCATTTCGAATGAAAGTGCATGAAGAAGAGATTCATTGGTAGATCTCACCAAATGAGGACGAATGAATCTCGTTGTACTGCAGCCGTTTGGCTTTTATACGATATTCATGTTGACGCAGTCCAAAAGACTTCCTCCGTTCTGATCCGGTGAGATCGACCAACGAATCTCTTCTTGATGCACTTTCATTCGAAAGGAAGGTCCCCCTAACAACTATATATTTGGCTGAAAAAGCTCTCCTCTATAAGCAAAATTTTAATCGTGAAAAAAAAATTCATTAGCTTCGTTGATTGAAAAAAATTCGAGCCGGAATATCTTAGTAAATTATGGTGCATCTGCTATAATCTTAGATAAGTGTGAATAATTTATGCGAAAACAATCTATTCGTCTGAAAGTACATGATGAAGAGATTCATTGGTGGATTTTACCGAAAGATGACTATTAGTTTCCGCTGATATGCGATCGTTTGGGTTTAATGTAACATTCAGGATGACGCAAACCACGAAAAACTCTAGAGATTCAGGTGTAATTAAGCTAGGCTTTTGTGTAAAGTAAAGAGTCTTCTTGATTTAGTGTTGACTGGAGACATTTACATGAATTAGTTCCAGTCCTGATAGTGACGAACGAAAGCTCAGCCCGTTTTAACCCCAAACGGATGAGAATATTGAATAGGCTGCGTCAATCATAAGGTCGTCGTTTTACAATGCGATCAACCTATGAATATGTTCCTCATGCACTTTGATAATTATTTACCAGTAATTATAAGTAGTTGGCAGCGATAATAAATTATAAATATATAATATTATGTAATTATCACCAGAGATGCAAGCTCTGCTTGTTTTCACATAAATTAAATGAGCATTAGCTGTTGACGGTCTAACTCGGAACCTGATAAGCATATTAAACGAATAGAGCGAAAAAGGTATCTTCCGAAGTCTCTTGGGGAGCTCTAACTTAGCAGCTATTCATCAGACACTTTTCACGAAATCAAAGTTTACACAATATTGGAAAATTTTTTTGAGGCCTTACAAATGCGTAGAGGTAAATATCAAGTAACTTTTGCTCATCTGAATGAAATTCATTTTTCTCCCTCTCTTTTTTCTAAACGTAATTTCTAAACATAGTTACTCTAATAGCCATGACAAATCAGAAGCATAACTTACAAAATACCAGACAGGAGCATAATAACGTTATAACTAAGTTCTTGGTTGAAGAAATATCCAGATATTTTTGCACTTGCCACAAACGTCAAAGATACTGGTTTACATTATAA